CCTCCTTCTTCGCTGGTCTTGTTGATGGCTAGTAAGATAGACAAGGTTTAGGAGTAGGTCACATGCTTATCACACTAGAAACATATGTGCGGTTGGCCAGCTTTCCGCCATTAACTCTCAGATGCTGATAAATTAGGTAGTGTTCATATAGTGAGAGTAGCTCTGTAAGCTAAATGAATAGCAATATGCGCTTTACTAAAACAAATTAGTTTACGGGACGTCATATATATATATGATTACACTAACACTGGATTTTTGAAATAACCCCTTTTATTTACAGTCCCGTATGTATATTCAATTTTTCATTAGAGTACATTCACGATAAAGGCTCGGCGCATTACATCGAATTGGAAAGTTCTCCTTTCATAATGGAGGTAAGACTAAAAATCGCAGTACTTCAGAAGAATAAAAGACAGTTAGATGATTCGTTCATAGAAGGCCTAAATGCGACAGGCATCTCACACGCAATTACACAATAGTTTACCTTTACAAACAAAACGGAACTCGATTCTCTCATTCATTTACGTAATCCTGATTTAAATGGAAGATAAGCTGAACGCTCTAAAGAAGGATTCTCATTGGAAATGGTTACTCCAAACGCACGCACTCATCTGCAGAAATATTAGAGACCAGTTATGCTTATTATTGAAAGAAATCTGAACAAAGCAAAAACTACAGTTTCAGTAGAATAAAATGGTACCACCTTTTATTTGGTGCGTCGGTGGCAGAGCGGTTAGGACGCTCGCCGACCATGCACATGGTCCGAGGTTCGATCGCTGGCCGACGTACTCCATTACCTTGCTAAGCCAGAAATAATGCTGGTGAAGAGGAAAGGTTGAGCATGAGGCTAGCAACCCCATTCTGTAAAATAAACACTGCTACAGAAACTTCAAGCCACTAGCTTGAAGCCCTATTTTCCACTGGGGAACGTGAAGGAAAAAAAGAAGAATCTTTTATTTCGTTGCCTTCTCGTCAGCTGCTTACAGGGCAAAGACATCATTAAATATATCTACAAAAACAATTTTAACATACTTGCACAGAGTTCATTTTAAACAAATGCTTTAAACAGTGCCATCACCAGGCGTCTCCTCGACACGAGTCATGAGGTGGATGTCGAAAATTCGTTCAAAATTATCAATAAGCTAAAAGAGCTCAATTCTCCTTAAGTTTACTGAAGCCATTTCCAACTAGCGCCTAAAACCTGATTTATGCATCCAGAAAGAAGCGGTTATCAGTCTTTCTTTGCTCTGGTAACTGGATATTTTTCATCTCTCTCTCATCCGAATGGGAAATGCTGAAAAGTTTCCATTGTGTATGATTATTATTGTTCGGAGTTGTGTTTAATATTGCATATATACATATGTATATATTATTACTGTATGCATATATTGTTTGATTTTTGTTTAAAATGAACTCTGTGCAGATACACTTAATAATGTCTTTGCCCTGTAAGCAGATGACGAGAAGGCAACGAAATAAAAGATGGTACCATTTTATTCTGCTAAAACTGTAGTTCTTGCTTTGTTCAAATTCATTAAGGGGAATAAATATATGAAAGAAATCTCCTTCTCTCAAAAATCCAATGACTTGAAAGAACTTGTAAGATAAGCTACCACTACTGATCTCATCAGTGTGCATCTATCAATTCACCTGCCCCTATGAAGCAAGGTATGTCGGTTGCACTATGCGTTTTCCATCCATAAATAACATCGAGCATTCACCTTCATTTTCTGTAACATCTAATTGATTGTGGACACCAAGTGACAAACTAAATTCAGAGTGGTTTACAGAGTACTTGGGAACACTGCGAAAGGTCCATGAATCACACTTTCTGAAGTTACAGGAGCCACGGTAATCTATATGCTTATGTCGGAACTCTTTATATTGAGTAAATTTTTTCAGCCAATGAAGTTATTACCTACCTAAATTACATAACCATTTGAGCAGTAATTTTTTTTATTTCTCTCTTTTCCCAGTATTATAGCACTTCTCTTTAAGACACTGATCTTGAGTTGACTTTCTTTCTTTCTTTTTATCTGAAACCTACTCAATCCTGTCAATTATATCAAGTCACTGGAATTTTCTGTCAGCTCTATCTAATTCATGCCTGTGTAACACGCGATTTCTTTTAGAATCTCTTACTTGTTACCTATATCTTAAAACTTTAATGAAACACCTTTGAAAACATGCACTTGGTTGCTTCGAGAATGAAGTCGCACAAATGAGCAACTCTTCTCTGAATAACTCTCTTAATGAAGATTTTCAAACTACACTCCGAAACACGGACATTTTGACGATATCTGAGGATCAACATGGTGTTATTCGGTGGATGTGATGATTATCAGTACAATCCTATTTGAGACTCACCAGCTAGACACATATGAAATCCTCAGTCAGTGATAGTGTTCCAAAATGGTATTTGAAGCTATGGGTGCCAGAAATTAAAGTCTTAGTGGGAACACCATCAATAACTACTGAGGAGGATTGCAGGTCAGTCGGTCGGTTTTCGACATAGAACTTTGCACATATGTGCGGAAGTTCAAGTCACCACACTCCCTCCTTGTAGCACACAAAGCAAGAGAAGAAAGTAGGAGAAATGCATTATATAGACAGTAAACAGAGGTGTGAGACAAAGGAATACTAATAACGAAGAACAAAACAGTTTCATTGGAAATCATAAGTCACAAGGAGTGGATGCATCTACATCAGCCATTGAGAACGATTTTGAGCCATGTCACCAAGTGTTTCCAACCATTGGTTTTTACCGTCCTGAGGACCACAACCAGTCAGGAAGTGTACACCTTCCTACGTAGCTGGCTTAGACTAACTGTTGTAGATTTCATTGACTGATGCTATGTTTTTGTTTGACCGCCGTTAGCTCTTATCCAGCCTGATCCTATATCAGCAAACATTGCCCATTGTCGAGGAAGGCGATGACTAGGCATACGTAACGCATGTCCTAACCATCTCAGTCCATGTAATTTCACAGCCTCATCGATTGATTTCCCCACCTCCTTACCTAGTACTCGACGCCTAACCTCAATATTGCTCACCTTATTATACCACTTCACACGGGAGATAGAACGCAGGCACCTATGATCAAAGACAACTAATCTTTTCATGTCTTCTGCTCTCAATGACCAGGTCTTACAGCCATAGAGGAGGACGGAGCGGACTGTTGAACAGTACACACGCCCTTTGGTCGACAGCTAGCCGGATATCACGTCTACGCCAGAGACGGCGTAAACTGGCATATGCGAAACTAGCTCTCTGTATTCGTTCTGACGTTACGTCAGAGATCAACCCGTTGGCACTGGCTGATGGTACTTCCCAAGTAAGTGAAGCGGTCAACGTGCTCTACCACTTCACTTCCTATTTCTAATCTAGGAGTCGGTGTAGTCCAATCCTGCAGCATCATCTTACATTTTACAGGGGCAAATCGCATGCCAAACATACGAAGATTGTTACTCAAGGTGTTCAGTAGACTCAGGATCGCAGGTACATCCAGTTAACGAGTGTGAAATAGGCCGAAACGCGAATTCTATACGAATCCCACTGCCAATCATCATCCACCAAACTATATCATACTGTTTTACTCATTACCGAGTGTCATCCATAAATAATGTTGTAACTGATGAACTTCAAAAGCAGATCAAAAACAAAGCAGTAGTAAGCACAATATTCTCTTATTCACTGATTTTCAATATATATATATATATATATATATTCAATCTCTTACAGTAGAAAAAGGCAGCTCTATGAATCTCTATGATAGATAATAACAATCACAATCATAAATACACAAGTACACGCACACACACACACACACACACTGAAAATGGCAAAGAGCATTTAAAAGGTAAGCAAACATGTGACAATTTATCTAAACACAAACACACATATATATCGTTCAACTCCAACATTGAACCCTATGTGCAGCAAACATTGAACATTGAAAAAAATTGACCCGCTACATACAAAACAATCATAAATAAACAATGCATGAGGAAACCACTAGGTGATGATGATGACATTATCAAGGTTGTTTTTTACGATGCTGGGGTTACAACAATGATTGCAGTGTTCTATCAACACACACACATACACAAACAAACACACAAAATGACCAACAGCATAAACCTTAGTACAAAAAAAGCATAGAAGATATAATGTGTTAAACAAAATTTCGTGATTTAAACAAAAAATTGTCTAGCTATTTAGACAATAAGAATCATCATATAATTAAATATAGAAAAATAGTTGAAATGTTTTGACGAGAAAAAGAAATAATACCACAAATAGTAACAGTAACAGTAATAATAATAATAACAATTATTATAATTACACAAGCCATAGATGCATGCTGTAGACAACGAATGATGAAACACACAATATCCATTCAATGTTCAATGCTAATTGGACACTTGACAAACATCGCTCTTATAGACATCGAGGAGAGAGAGCGGTAGAGATAGACAGACAGACAGACAGACAGACAAACAGACAGACAGACAGACAGACAGAGGATAATAGACAATGCAGAAGCATATACTTCAGTAAAGATGGTTGTATCAACAACAAAGTGGCAAGTACTACAATACATTTGGTTATTTGACTTGATTAGGCAAGTAAAAGGCAATGAACGATTTGTCGAAGTGTTGTTGTGGGGTAAGGCGCGGATACAAAAGAGGATATGCGCTGAAGAAGAAAAAGGATATGCGAAGGAGAGAACCGATAACAAATCAGAAGAAGAAGAAGAAGACGAAGACGTCGAAGAGGTAGGCAAATATTCACAGATTTTCTGAATATATATCAGACATTAATCACAGCAAAAGAGAATAAATCCACATTTGTGCGATGGATACACAGAACTAGAAACGCCAATGATGGAAATAGTAATAATGAATAATATACAAAGGGAAAAAAAAATTAAAAGACAGATAGAAAGGCATGACAGAAATACACGACCGGTTCAGTACTGACAAGGACAGGAGTGTTATCTATCCACGTTGAAGATTATGATCACCTCCTAAATCGACTTGATTATCTGGATGGTTCTCATGCACACAACTGGTGACAGAAAATGCACTAGGCCGACGAGATGCAGTGACGCGTTGATGTATATTCAATAGGACTGGAGCAACAAATTGTGGATTTACCAATAATTCATTGTCTACATTGAAATACGACCTTTCAAGGCATGAATTTCTACGCAGATCTTGTCGACTAAGTATTTGCATTGAACTAGGACCACTGGTTAAATCGATATTTGTCGGTTGTTGTTGTTGTTGTTGTAATTCAGCATCTAATCGTGATGTAATCTGATCAAAAGTATGCACACCGACACGTATTGATGCATCATTATGATCTGTAATAGAGTTTTGATCATCCATCTAGAACGAAACATTGAAAGGTGTCACAAGGTCAAAACAATTATCTACAGATATTACTAGAACAATAGGAAATGTGCATATATACGTCTAATCACCAAAATACGTACAATCTGTCCTTAAAAATACTACGTGAAAGGTCTGAGTTCGACTCCCGACAAAGATACTCCCACACATCGCCTATTTTACTAGTCAATAACGTTGTGAGTGGAGCCAGAGACCCCATCCCTGGAACACAACACCGTGATTGTTGCAACTTCAAAGAAATGAATAAAAGTTGCATAGTTTCGTCCACACTTAGGAATGCATCCACCTAAAAGACACCGTATTCATCTAGTATCAAACCAGGATATACTACTGATTAGTATGTGAGTAGTTTCCAACCACTCACTCTATAACACAGTAGTGTTTGCCAGTCAGATAACCAGATTGACTCAGCTGACACATTCGAATACGTTGGAACCAATAAATTCTGGCTAATTATTGCTTGGTCAAATTATCAGTGCATAGAATCAGAAATTTGCAGTTGACAAAAAAGTCTGGTTCAGTGAGAAATGTGAACGTGTGATTAGTAGGCAACCACCAGACGGGTCACTACTAGTGTGGTGCAAACAGTGGTAAAAACAGTTATTTAGTATAAAACAACTGTGTGAAATTGAAACTATTTACAATATTATTTTTATTGTTTCCTTAATTTCCTAGAGGAACATAGGGCTTCAGCCGTGCATCTCTATTGCGTTCGGTTCTCTGCAAAAGTTTTCACTTGGCTCCACGTCTGCACACATGTTTTCATCTCCTTTTCACATGACCTCCTACAAGTCACCCTTCCACTGTCGACCAACTCGCCGCTTCCCTTTCGGGTTCCACTCGAGCGATGGCTTGTCTAGTGATGTCACTTGATGGTTTGTTTCCTCAGAGTATGGCCAGCCAATCCATCTCCATTTCTTCCTGCCTATTTCTTTCACAATCGGTTTCTGGTTGGTTCGTTCCCAGAGATCCCTGTTGCTGATCTTTTCTGGTCGGCCATCTGATCTTGACTGGTATTGAGCGAAGACAACTGTTAATGAAGGTCTGTAGTTTGTTTGAGATGCTCTTTATGACGCGAAGTGTAAGTCTCTGATCCGTACAGTGAGTAGCACTGACTGACTTCACATTGGAGTTGAAAATCCGGATTCTTATCTTCGTTTTGATGCTGAGTGCTGTTGACCTCCACACAGACTTGAGAGTAGTGAAAGCTTGTCTTGCTTTTCCGATTCTTGCTTTGATATCCTCGTCAGTTCCATCAGCCTGTAGTTGAAATGACGCTTCCCAGGTAGGTTGATGCAGGAGGTTGTTTCTTTCAGGATCCTTCCATTTATGCTGATTGTTGTCTGTTGTTGTTGTTGCTGTTGGTGGTGTTGGTCAGGAATCTTCATCACCTCTGTCTTCTCTATGTTCACCTGAAGTCTTATCTTCCGTGGATGCTTCTTCTGCCAACTTGTTGCTTTTCGCTTGCATATCTTCCAGTTTGTGGGAAATCAGACATATATATTCTATAATGCATTCAATTTTAATGTTTGCATCCTATCTCCAGTTATAAGTAGTATAATATGGTGAATAATATTGAAGCAAAGCGTAGTGCTACGTTAGAAAGGGAAGCCAATCGATACGGTTGTGAAACTACATCGATTGAGACGGCCAGGACACGTGTTATGTATATGTCAAGCCATTGAGTTGGAAGAGAGTTAGTAGTGGTCATACTGAAACCATTGACAGTTCGTTTGAGCCATCTACGGAAGTGTAGCCTGTCAGATTGGGGTCCACGAGATGCTAAGCACTAATGGCTCGAGATTATCGATGATGTTGCTGAAAATTGTTGTCAGTGGCTCAGATGAGTTCACTCTCTGTAATCTCTCCTATATCCACTAAACCATCACATTTTTCCATGTTACTCTTCTTTCTCCTGCAGATTTATGCTTATTTTACTCCATTAGCCAGAACAGCGGCGCTTCTGTGAGGGTTAACGATACCGAACAGTTAGCCTCAAGAATAACTTCAGTTCGAAGTAATTGTGCTGACTGGCTATTTCGAGATTTTGTACTGCATAAGCTGTGATGAATCAGTGCTAAATAGAAAGTTTCGCTGTGGATATAAGCGAATTATTCAGCTGTCACTGACCCACACCGTTTATTTCGCCAATGAAATGACTGTAAGTGTACTCAATGTCGAGTTTAATATCGACTAGTTTATCTGATTGTCAGTTGCTAGTAGTGGAATCCACGACGGGCAACCCCTCCAATTTTGGACTTCCTGGTTGAATAGAGTAGTTTAATTTCTCTAATCATTACTGACTATGATCAATTCGAAAATTGAATATGAGATATTAGTCATTAGAGAGTTAAGTTAATTCACGGAACTCCTTTTTTTGTCCCACTATTCTTTCTCACGCACATCTCTACTTACTCATACAACTTCTGTGACAAAAGATCCATTGGCCCAAATGATTTAACAACGTAAAGTTTTACATAAATACATCAATTCAAGCGACCAGACAACGAAGTGGCACACATATTTTCAGGGACAAAAGGAAGACAAAGTGTAAAAATATACTTCTGCACAAATGTAACGACTTGTTGTGAACCATTTCACAGAACCTTTCAAAAATCCCTCCCTGCACGACTCAAGGTTTTCTTCTTCAACGACTTCATGTCATTTCATAGTCTTAAAAACTCAGAATCAACAACAAAATTCGGATTTTCAATACAAATGTCAGTCAAGTCACTTCTTCTATACGGATGGATCAGAAACTTGGTGGGTCACAAAGAATATTTCCAACAGCCTGTCGCAGACCTTTATCAACAACTAACTGTCTTCGCTCTATACTCAAGATCAGATGGCCGGAAAGGACAAGAACCAACAAGAAACTATGGGAACAAACAAACAAAACAAGAACCAATCGCACAACAAATATGCATGAGAAAGTGGAGATGGATTGGACACTCGCTGAGGAGGCCGCTGGGTGACATCGCGCGTCAGGCCAACGCTCCAGTGGAACCCGAAAGGGAGGCGGCGAGTGGGACGTGAAAGGGTGACATGGAGGAGATCGTGTGAAGAAGAGTTGAAACAGTATGGACTAGCATGGATGCAGGTGAAAAGTACAGCAGAAGACAGAAGCAAGTGGAGACGTGCATTTGAAGCCCTATGTTCCACTAGGAACCCAAGGGAACATTAATAATAATGATAAATCTACTGATTCTTCTTCAGTATAACACTTATTCGGCTAACATTGTCATGTGAAGAATGTGACATCTCTGTATGACTAACACAAATCCCAGCCGCCTCAGCTTCCATAGCTTCAGAACCCGCGTCGACTGAATCTGCCTCTTCATTCACTCTGAATTCTATTATTGCTTATCATTTTGCTTCATTCAATATGAGCAAGTGAACGGTGATACATTAAATCGCCCCATACCCTCTAGTTTCAGTGGACATGTCTTACAGCAGTAGAGTAGAACAAAGTGGGTTGTGGTCTGTCTGTCTGTCTGGATTCAACATAGAACTTGCCACCGAAGTGCAGCAGTTCCAGTTGCCACCTTCCAAATACCACACAAAGGTAGACAAGAAAATGAGTGAAGAGAATCAATAGAGTTTTGACAAGTATAAGAGTGAAACACAATGAGTAATGGTAAGAAGGAATATGAAAGATTACAGAGACTGAATACATCTGCGTAAGCCATTGACAACGATTTTGAGCCATGTCACCTAATGTCTCCAGCCATTGATTCTTAGAGTCCCGAAGGTCCCAACCCGGAAGTCTGCATCTCTCTACCTGACTCAGTTTAACTGTCAAGGATTTCATGGATTGATTGATGCTATGTTTTTCTTTGGCCACCACTTACTCTTTTCCAACCTGTACCTGTATCAGCTAGTAATGCCCGTCAGGGTGGTGGGGAGGCGATGGTTAGGCATGCGCAGAACGTCACCTAGCCATCTCAATCTATGTAACTTTATAGCCTCTTCGATTGATTTTCCCTCTTTGCCCAACACCCTACGCCTGACGTCAACATTACTTACCTTATTATACCACCTAACTTGGAAAAGAGATCGTAGACATCTGTGGTCAAAAACAGTCAACCTTTTCATGTCTTCATGTTGTGGTACGGTACATACACACACACAAATCTCTGCAAGCCAACGAACAGATATCTAAGTTACAAGTAGATTGACATAATTACCCTAGAAAGCTGTCAATTTGGGCTTCCAGTAAATCTGTTTACAATATTTACCAAAAAAAAGAAAAAAATAAATACTCCAAAATATATATATATTCATAACCTACTGTGTTCGGCATATGATTTTTGAATTGTTTCTTAGAATTCAAACTACTCGACCGCGTAAATTGACTCTGTTGATCATCGAATACATCTTCATTAACAGGTATATGATTTGCATGTCGTAGGAGGTATTTACGCGCTGAAGTATTTCCAGCTAATACCCATCCAGTAATAATTGTAAATATCAATAATAAGGCTGAGAATATCAGTCCCAAAAGTGAACACAACACTAAAGCATGACTGACAGTATCTGCACGCAGTACAATAAACATGAATATATTCAATTGTAGTAGGAAAACAGACGCCAGCATACAACTAATTGCAAGCCAATGAATGTGTGAATCAATACGACTAGGTAGATAGGCATAGTACAGGTTATAACGTTCAACAAAATACTTCATGATTAGATATATTAAACCTAGAAAAAATATACAAAAGAAAATAGGTTTTGGATTAAATAGAGAATTTCAAGAGATACAGGGATATATTATATTAGACAACCAAAAAATATTGAGTTACATATATAGAATAAAACGAAAGTATATGAGAAATCACGACACATTTTCAGGTAGAATGAAGTCTACCACCTTGATAACTGGCTCTTATACGATGATCGATAGAAAGTTCACAATGCAAGCAAGCTTCCCTGGTAGAATTCCTCAGTTAGCATCAAAACACTAAGGCTTAGACTGGGAATTGGTCAGTCTCTAATGTACAATCAATTCAAATCCACATTTTTTTACACTAAGAGTTAGAGACTGATTCTATAAAGAGTGTCAAGATTCTCTATCCATGCAAGTACTAACCGGGTCCAACGTTGCTTAACTTCGGTGATCGGACGAGAACCGGTGCTTTCAACGTGGTATGGTCGCCGAAAAAAGTAGCACAGAAGTAAATTAGACCAAGTTGCCACTATAGCAGAATCATTATTGACCTGGAAACCCAACCATGAAGAATTTATTCACAAAATCAATAATTCTTTGGATACTTCACTTAACTTTGTAATTACTACCGCTTTCTCCTGACCTGTTTATCATAGTTCTAACATGTGCACATCTCCTTTTAACCTGATCCTTATTATTTGTCAGTGTTTTTGCTTAGTCCCTAAATTAAATGCTTCTCAAGTGTTGGTTTGCAGGGATTTGATTGATTGGTTTCAGGATTTCATCATGAATCGGCATCGCTTAGAGGACCATTGGAAAACCTGGGAGTACTGGACAGCTGTTTCGTCCCATTGGTTTGGGACTCTTCACCAGTACGTACCCACCGCCAGGGTTGCAAGGTGAACTCGTAGAACATTAAGCCACTGGGACCTGATCAAATGGCCATCCCATGAATTCCAACTTCTGCCAATTCAAGATATGGAGCGACCACTGGCGAATGTCCTCCCTGACAAGTATTTGTCTTCACATTCGACCTGCTGTATCCTTCTGGTCACAACTGCCCACTATAATTCAGGTAACTACCTATCTGAATACGGCCAGTCACTAGTGAGCATCAGATTGATTGATTGAATATCAATACCTCAGTAGTGGGTTTGTACCACTGAAGAGTCCCAAACTAAGACGAAACAGATGTCCAGTATTCCCAGGTTTTTCAATGGTCCTCTAACCGATGTCAGTTCATTATGGTGGTGTTGAAAATTGGGTTGTTCTAACGACTGCGATTTTGGTGGAGTGGAGTCAAGATTACGCCATGGATTGACTGCTTCACTCAAATAGCCAAGTAAGTATGTGTACATAAGGTTCACAGATTACAAATTAACTAACTTACAAAATATCATACAACAATAATGTTTCACAAATGACTGTGATCGAAAACTTCTTCCTCCCACTTCATACCTTCCATTATTATAACAACATTCATGTCTCATAGTCACAATGATAGAGAGCGGAACACCATATACCTCTATACAGTAGTACACTGGTTTTCTTATAAGGGCGGCTGGACATTTTACTGGCATCACAGACTAATTACAGATTTATCAAGAGATCCAAAAAAGACGGAATTTACAATAGTCAACAACATAATCAATAAAAGTCATATGCTTCCTTGACTGGAAATTACAAGCTGGGGTAGTGAGATTGACCATTTCATCCGACAGTATACAGAATATGCTAAATCAATGCCATAAGAAATGAAACTGTTTTTTTTCCTTCACATTCCCCAGTGGAACATAGGGATTCAAGCCAGTGGCTTGAAGTTTCTGTAGCAGTGTTTATTTTACAGGATGGGGTTGCTAGCCTCATGCCCAACCTTCCCTCATTACCAGCATTATTTCTGGCTCAGCGAGGTAAAGGAGTGCGTCGGCCGGGAATCGAACCCGGACCGCCCGCGTGGCAGGCGAGCATTCTACCATTGAACCACCGACGAAAAAAGGCATTACCATCGCTTCGACCTAATCTTGTTGAATATGCATTCTCACCATACCACAAGCATTTAGAATGAACTCAGTAATTAGAGGAAAAGAACTAAATGAAACAGACACATATACAACAAAATCAGCTGAGTAACGTAAAACAACAGAATAGATGTAACAAAAAGATAAAAGCTGTTGAACCATATAATTCACCACCGTACTAAGAACGTCTTATTCATTGCAAACAGACAGCAGTTACTAGACAAGTGAATATCAGGTAGTACTGGACATATTTTTCTTCCTAATTTAGAGGTCTTTAGAAGTGCGCAGCCACGAACCTAGAGGAGATTGAGCCTAGGACCTTCAGGTCATTACACAAGCACATTACGATTGATAAGTAGAACCAACCATGAATCCTAATTTTTCACACAGTTAGCTGATGCCATTGGAGAATATCTACCCCACACTTGACTTGATGAAAGTGGAGGTAATACAATAGGGACTTATTTTGTGCATTTCGCAGTGATTCTCCTTGATCTAGAATGTTCCAAGCTGCTGGGAAAGCAAACCATGCGTAGAATGACGAAAAGATTCGTCACATGCCTAGACCTGGTCACCTCAAGTAGCATTACGGTAAATGACTATCGTTGTCCTAAAATCAGAGTTCTATCATTATCATTATTATTATTATTATTACCATTTCCCCATGTTCCAAGAGAAATATATCGCTTCAATAGCGAATGTTCATCTCATCCTGTTCTCTGCAGACCGTTTTAGCTGCTTGTGAGATTGTCCGTTAGCTTTCATTTTCTACATACACACACGACATCCTCGATGTCACCCTCAGACTGACGTCCGACTCATCGTTTTTCGCATTCGGATTGCACTAGGGGGCCTGTTTCGCAGTCACTTAGTAGTCTCATCAGCAAGTGTACAATCCATCTCCATTTCCTTCGGGTTTTAGTTGATTCTTTCCCAGAGTTCTTTCTTACTTATCTTTTCTGGCCGACAGCATAGACCAAAGGCAGTTGTTGATAAAATTCTGAAGGCTATTCAAAGTACGCTTAATGATAAAACCCTTCTACAGCATTAAAAAATAGCTATAGTGCGTTCTCTCCTATTTAGTGAAAACTAAATTTACCACCATGTTAAAGAAGACGATGTGAAAGGGGATAATATTTGGCATCGGCTAATACCACCTGACATGAAAGTTCATTAGGCATAGAAAAAACCATCCACATTTAATAGTTTTCAACCTACCGAATGGTGTAATCAATGGACAAAGTATACTGTACGCGCATATCACTGCAAATACACATAAACTCCAAGCATAGAATAAGCCGAATTCAAATTCAAATTGACTAGCCTAGATAAAGAAAATACACACACAGGGTGAAAGACAAAACGCGAATAAACATACATCTAAGTGATACAGTGTAGCAATGTTGTAATCTATAAAAGTGAGATAAATAAGCAAATAACTTAAATATTGATTTTCGAAAGGAGAATATACAAAATAACAAAAGACATACAAAATGTGGAGTAATTCGACTGAGGACTATTAAGTGAATGAAATTCTCCATTTGATAATATTTAATGCCTTGAAAGTTAGATGGTTGGGCGTTATCGGTAGAAGCACCTGGCCCCCACTCGTCGGGTAAGGTGTATTTGAGTCTTCAAAGGAATTGACTAACACCTAGCCCCCCCCCCCGAAGAAACTTGAACCCTCGTCGTTCAGTGCTGTAGTCAGAAATATTACTATGGAGTTATTCACGGCCATGATTAATCTCATTGCTGAACCGTAATCAATACATTAATTGTTTTATTCCTAATTTCTATCAGTCAAGTTTAAAATTTAGTTAGCACGCTGAGAGACTCGTTAATGCGGTGCACTTTGAAATAATACTAAGTGGTCAAAGAGGATCAGCAAGGAGCCCTGAACCTAGATTTCGTGCTTAACACTTGCAAGCAAGGCGTATCTGAAATGTCGATGAAGCTGGTTGATGCCCCCCCCCCAAGATTCAAAATCCTGTATACATGTTTATGCCTTGATTGGAGACTATATAGTCACGAATGTCACGCGTCTAGCCCTTCGTTTGGTACAGACCGAATTCTACCAGGCCATTAAGGCAGGTGACTCATCACCACAGTGCACTCTGAATTGTTGTAAAGTGGTCGGAGGCAATCGACAAGAAGTCTTGTACCTAGGTTTTGTGAGTGTTGGAACTCACCATCAAGTAAACTAGTCACTACCTAGTGTCCAATCAAATTATCCACTACAGTTCTACAGGAGGCCAATAGCGAGCCCAAATAATTCAGTGGTAACGCTTTGACTGCAGCACTACATGACCTGGGTCCGAATCCCTGAAAGGACATCAGTTCCATCAAGACTGAAGATACATACATCCTGTTGACAAGTACCAAAGACCACGAAACATAGGTCCAAGCCTTCGTGCTGTTTGCTTTCAACCATCTAATAACATTACCTTTATATTTTATAGCATTTTCTTTCTCACTTGAAAAACTTCAACAAAGCAAAACCAGCAAGCGAATCGAGTAGAGTAATACGATATCCTTTTTTTCTTTTGTTACTGTGTATAACTGAAGCGGTAACTGTTAAACGATAAATGCTAAACTAGAAAACCCAATGCTATGGTGAATATTTTGATACTTTAGTTCTATAATATCACTTTATACCTTCTCTAACTTCTTTTAAATAATTTTTATCGAATAAAGCGCTGTCTGGGGTTTCCCGCTTGCCATAATTTTAGTCAGTTTCATTCCTCTACACATGTGATGTTAGTTCTTCATATCTCTCTACTTTTTTTAGAATATCCAACTTTAAAATAAGAAAAGTTCTCAGCGTAACCTGAAGCTCTAGGGTGCAGTATTTGGCTGACTCTCTAGTATATGCTACTGAAGAGTACCAAAATAGAACTCCGCTAATCACCCTTTTGCAAAATTTACCTCAAAAATCACCTACATCTCTACAAAAACAGGTTCATTCACATACCTTGTTATTTTATTATTATTGTTATTATTATTTAAATAACTAACTTGATACATTTAGGGCCACCAAGAGATGTACCATACGAAAACAATAAAACAGCAATATAATATAAAGAAAGTGGGGCAGAGAATGAACGAAAAACGTCAATATGCATAACTTCATGTTACTTTCAGAAAGGGAAGTAGGATTGAAAATGTAGTATGTTAGCTCATGCAGACTTCGTGTTCTTTTGGAAGTGTGTGGGCGGTTATTACTTCCCGGCTGCCCACACCGTGGAAGTTGGTTGGGTCTTCAGGTACCTGGAATAGGGAAGAGGTTAGTGTTGCGTGACCGCAGAGCCCAGGGGACAACTGCTTGAGGCCGGTCACACGCGGCCTGTTTTTGTTTGTTCTTATTCATTTGGTGTGTCTCAGTAGCACATTTATCACTTCTGCCCTGTGACACGGCAGCAGAAAGCGCGGTAGTTGTTAATCCGGGCCCCCACCGATCCGGCATGATATTTTGTGAGTTTGTTTGACACATAGTATTGGATTGGGTAGCTGCTCTTTCTCTAACCGCTATCCAAACAACCCTTCTGGCATGGTAGGACCTACAGGAACATACGTTCCAGCCAGTGTAACTCGTTGGGTCATTGCGATATGCAAGCCCGACCACCACGTCAAGGTAGCAGCTATCGGCCGGTCCTCGGGACGGTAAGAACCAATGGTTGCGAACAATTGGTGACATGGCTCAAAATCGTTCTCAGTGGCGCAGATGCATCCATTCCTTGTGACTTATGATTTCCAATGAAACTGTTTTGTTCTTCGTTATTACTATTCCTTTGTCTGACACCTCTGTTTACTGTCTCTATTATGCATTTCTTCTCTTGCTTTGTGTGCTGAATGAAGGGAGTGTGGCGACTTGAACTGCCTCACATATGTGCAAAGTTCTATGTCGAAAACCGACCGACCGACCGTAGTATGTTAGCAGTTGGTTGCGACTCTTAGCCATATCTCATAACGTTTCGAGCCTCCAATTCGACCCCCCCAACGAAGTGATGCTAACCTAGCATAGAAATGTCTTCCCTACCATGGTGCCACATCACCAACCGACCGACCACCTCTCCGCTTTCTTTATCCAGCCCCAGAGGTAGTGCAAAAAGTAACCGCTAGGAAAACCTCTGGAATGATATTCGTAGAACATGTCTAAGCCACCGAAGCCGGTGTTTTAAGATGATTGTACTCAATGAAAGGTGACCTCCACTGTATTCCTTGTAATTTCATCCATTCAACTCTTATGCCATTTGAACAACAATAACATCTATGTTTAAGTTAATCCGTTATGGATTCTATGCAGTTATGACAAGATTGGTCATATTATTCTGTTCAAATTTCGCTGTTCTTCATTTGTCTGTCTGTCTGTTTTCAACGTACAACTTTGCACCGATGTGCAGCAGTTCAAGTCGCCACAATCCCTCCATTCAGCACACAAAGCAAGAGAAGAAAGTAGGAGAAATGCTTATTAGAGACAGTAAACAGAGGTGTCAGACAAAGGAATAGTAATAACGAAGAACAAAACAGTTTCATTGGAAATCATAAGTCACAAGGAGTGGATGCATCTGCACCAGCGATTGAGAACGATTTTGAGCCATGTCACCAATTGTCTCCAGCTTTCATTGGTTTTTACCGTCCCGATGACCCCAACCAGGAATTCTACACCTTCCTATGTGGCTCAAACTAACTGTTGTGGATCTCATTAACTGATACCATGTTTTCATTTGACTACCACTGGCTCTTTTCCAGCTTGACCCTATGTCAGCTACCATTGCCCGTCAAGGAAGGCGATTGATGGATAGGCACATGTAACACATGTCCTAACCATCTCAGTCGATGTAGCTCCACAGCCTCATCGATTGATTTCCCCTCCTTACATAGCACTCGACGCCTAACCTCAATATTACTCACTCTACTATACCACTTCACACGGGAGATAGAACGCAGGCACCTATGATCAAAGGCAGCTAGTCGGCTTTCTCATGTCTTTCACTCTCAATGGCCAGGTCTCACAGCCATAAAGGAGGACGGAGCGGACTGCTGAGCAGTACACATAACCTTCTTCATTTAAATATTCATAAGTGATCAATATAGTGTGCAACCAATAGCTGCTGGCTTCATGTGGTAATCGCGCTTGTCTATCGCAAGGATATAAAAAGCTACACAGGTTGATATACATGTTTGTGCAAATTCTATCATGCCAAAGAGGTTGCTTGAATAAAAGTTAGACTAAAAGTGTAAGTTTTTCACAATGTGTTTAGGGCCTAAGAGTAGAGTCATAGTTCTAGCGAATAAAGATGTTACAAAAGTAAGGTGGCGCTCTCCGATGACCACCAAGCAAGTCATGCTGCCTTTCCGCTGTAAGAAGAGAGGTAAAACCAATGTCGACTCCGACAATTATACATACGAATTCACTAAATGCAGGTCTGAAACTGTACAGGAAAACAAATCCAAATATCACTACAAACAGATCGGCCTCATGAAGCTGTCCCTTGGGCACTGTCACCACAAACACACACAGATTATTCTGACAGGAAATCAATTCCCACAAACAACTCTAAACGCATCAAGCCTTTCTGGTCAGTAAAATAAGACGATAACATTACATATGACATACATGAATAGACAAAAGGGTATATCCTTTGTAGAGAAGCTATCATCTTTTTTTATTCCTTTAAGTTCACAGTGTAACATAAGACTTCAAACTAGGGACTTGAAGTTTCGGTAGCAATGGTGTTTAGATTTGACGGGATGAGGTTGCTAGCCTTATGCCCTCTTTACCAGCCTTATTACTGGCTTATTAAGGCAAAGATGTGCGTCGGCAGGGGATCGAACCCCGAACCACATGCGTGATCGGCGAGCATTGTACTTTTGTACCACCAATGTACAAAAGTCATATGATGGGTGTAAAATGTGTTGATGTGTATATTTCCATCAAATATTCAGTAAGATGATTGAAATATATATGGCGAAAAAGAGAACATACAATATATACAACAGGAGAGCGGAAAAAAAGTACCAGACTTACCTTTCGTACACCGCCTTTTTCAGCACCTGATTTAACGCACATTAATCGACAGGCATAATTAATTAATTCAGAGAAACGAACTAATTCTAATGCTGTACCAATAAATGCTGCAGTGATAACATAATTCACGAAGAAAGCACCATTATCTGGCATAAAAACACATTCCCATTGAAAAGATTGTGGCCCCAATGGGATAAATGGACTTGTGGTATTTTCAATTTCAAGTGAAGAAGGCGTTGTTGTAGTAGTAGAAGTAGTAGTAGTAGTAGTACTACTAGTATTCATAGCAGCAATGGTAGTAGTCGCAGTAGTGGTAGTAGTAAAAGTAGTAGAAGTAGTAGTAGATTCCACTACAGTGGTATTATCATCATTCGATGGGACTAACGGTATGATACGCATTTCGGGAAAGAGCCATTGAAGTAGAGCAGGTATTCTGAGTGTATCAAAAAACAGAAAAACAAAAGTATAACAAACAAGAAAAGGTGAGAAAATAGACTTAGGTCAAGTTGAAAGGACATATCCAAGGTCAAAGTAACAATGAAGACCACTAAACCAAATAACAGAGGTAATAGTACATCTGCTATGGTGTCAAAACAAAATTTACCAAGGAAGGTTTAATGTGATGACGAATTGTTTTTGAACGCACAAAGGTAGCTTAAACTTTCTAATTGCCAGCCAAGGCTTCCACAAACTTTAGGATACGCCCCAAACACGTTTTATAGATAGGTTTAAAAGATCTGTTAACGTCAATTTTATGTCCTGTCTCTATAATATGTTTCGCAATAGAAGAGCTAGGTCTCCTGTTCTCACCGTTAATAGGTTCTGAAGATTCCATTTGTTTCTGGAGCCATTTAGGAATATGCTCTGAAGCCCTAACTTGCAGAGATCAATGAGTCCTCCCTATGTATCTGTGTCCACACGTACATACAAATTGGTAAATACAGTGGCATGTGGCATAATTTTTCGCATGTTCAAAGGGCTTAGATAAATATATTGGCTTTACATTCTCTATTAATATGATATTGGCTGCATAAAAAGTCTTTTTGACAGCAGCGTTCAGTCTTTGTCTAGTTATCAAGCTGCTTTGATGCCCCATATAGGGTAGCTTGATGTACGCGTCTTTCTTAGGGGCGAGCTGGAGAGTGCGTCTAGGTGTTCTGACTACTTTATATCTCCTGATGAACTTGTCTGGATAATTGTTATCAACCAGAGTTTGTGTCAACATTCTTTCTTCCGCATCAAGTGTGTCTTCAGTGCATATTCGTTGGATTCTACTGAAGAGGCACCTTACTAAGGCTCTTTTGTACCGAACAGGGCAGAAACTGTGGTAATTAAGATACTGGCCTGTCCATGTAGGTTTTCTATAAATAGATCTTTTTATTGACCCTGAATATGTCCTTTAAATTTGACCTAAGTCTATTTTCTCACCTTTTACCTCTTTATTAATTTCATATATATTCCTATGACAAGTCCGTGTGTGATCAGATTGTTCGAAATGTGTTGCGCAAATACATTACACGATTCAGACAAATTACGTCTTCTTATTGCTTTATCTAAATTCATAAAGGGAACTAATTGTTTTAAACAAGAAAAGATTATTATACAATAATGAAAATAAATATACACCTCAGTTAAGCTAGACTAAGCAATGCAGAATACAGAGACAGAGTAAGTGATGTAGATAACCAACCAATCAAACAACCAACCAACTAACCGAAAACAACACGCACCAATCACTCACTACTATGGGGTGAAAAATGAAGGAAGTCTCTTCTTTCACTTATCTAGACAGCACAGTGTCAACTACAAGCAACACCACGGATGAGCATGTCAAAGTTCGGAATTCGAAAAGTACAACAACAGATCTTCATTATTCTAAAATCAGTGTGGAAATCTGACGCAGTAGTCAGCATAATGAACAATATTCGGATTTCTAGCACCAATGTTAACTCACAGTTCTTTCTTCTTTTTATGGGTCAGAAACATGATGCGTCAAGAAAAGCGTTTCCAACGGGCTGTTGACAGCTGCTTTCGTTCCATACTGAATATCAGATGGTAAGCCCGAAAAGGATAAGCAACAAGAAAATTTAGAATGAATCAATCAAAAACCTATCGCAGAACACAGATGCCGAAGAAAATGGAGATAGATTGGGCACAAAGTCAGCCGACTGTTGAGCAACATCGCGCACCAGTTACGCATTAGTGGAACCCAAAAGAGAGGCGATGAGTTAGACTTCCAAGGGTGACATGGAGAAAATTCCATGAGGAGAAAATGAAAGCTTATGGTCAGTTGGGGAGCCAGCCAGTTGAAGAGGACTGCAGAGAAACGGGGAAAACTGAGAAAATGCTGTTGAAGACGTATTTTCCACTCGGAACCCAAGGGAATAATAATAAAGCGATTCGGCGTGTAGAATATAAGGTACACTAATACGTGAATGGACACAAGAATTCTTGTTCAATGCATTATGATTTTCTTACAAATAATTTAGAAGGGTAGATCTTATTAAAAATCGAGCCAAATATATTGATAACAATCGAAATAGCACAAGACAGCCGTTTGCTTCCAGTACGAGACTAATGTGAAGTGTCTTTCCGAATCTTTTAGGATGACTCTGGCTGACTGACTGACAACCAATGTAGAACTTAATACAGAAATGCCCGATTCTCATTGCCTACTGGAGACCAGGCATTTCAGTCTAGCATAGCCAATCAAAGGGGATATGCATATTAACCTGCAAACAAATATGAATTGATACCCGTTACACAAGAGATGACTCTTATGGTCCTTTACAACTCAGTGGATAGTGCTTTGGTGTTAGAAACGATGGAGTCAGGGTTTGAGCCTCAGTGCGCAGACCATCATTCACTGGAAATGCAAGTGGGTTCAATGACGAGTCCAAAGTAGGGCAAAATGTACCTCCAGCATTCCACCGCTAGTCGCAATCGGCTGTAACAACTTCACAAAACAAAATAATATTCAACAACCACTTGTTTTCCTCTATGCAACTGCCTATCAGCCAAATCTGGTTGTCAAAAGCTCTTTAGATGGGACAAGCTACGAACCTATGACCCAACGTTTGAAAGTCGAGCAACCTAACTAAGAAAAACAGCCACAGCTCTACGCATCACGAAGTATGCATGTTTCACGAGTCAAAAGAAATTTAACAGCCTATGATTTTCCAACATCCACCGATATGCGTCATCGCACCATTGCCAAATCTAAACTGACACAACATGTCAGAATTACAAGAAATTATATATATACAGATGTTGGGTTAACGGCAGTTTGCCATATTTCAAAGTAGACTTTGTTAAGAAATGAGATCAGTCAGTCACAAGTATTAGTTTGTTTATCAGATGTATCATACAGTGATGAAACAGTATTATTTACTGGATGACGTTTCGAACAAAATTTATTGTTCATAATCATATCAATTGTGATCACACGACTTCGAAACTTAAGTTTTATAGTTTTCTTTGTCTTCTATTTGTCGTCGTAGGGGTAGTAGAATTTTCCAGATATCCGTTTGGGACAGGTGATGAATCATTCCTATTACACGTGCCTGCAGTTGATTCGATCAACAAAGCTTCTGTTATCAATCTCTCCCTATACCCTGTGACATTAGATTTTAAAACTGTCTGTCATCCTATCCCATCCAGCCTATTGTATGGTTGTGAGTAACTGCATGTAGTGAGTGGAATAGCTGAACTATTCTCTAGATTTCTTATCTTATTCGGGTCAACCAATCTAGATTTTGCTAAGTTTTTATGTTCAGCTAGTCTGACTGCCCCTGTTCTACTAGTTTGGCCTATGTATTTGACCTGACAATCATTGGAGGCAGGGTATGACATAAACTAGATTGTTTTGTTTTAAAGGCTCCACAGGATTGATCCTCTAACCGACAAAGCTTGTTTCTAATTGAGTTTGTAGGTTTGAATACCGTTTTTATTCCCGCCTTGTTAAGAATTCTGCGTAAGGCTTCCGAGGTTCCTTCCTTGTATGGAATTACTACTGATGATTTAGATTCCTTATTGTTGGTGTCGTCAATAATATTAGTATTATTATCACTATTATTATTATTAATACTGTTTCACTGTGTGATATATCTAATAAACAAACTAATATGGAATTACTTATAACCACAGTGCCCACGTTTTACACCTATATCAGTCACAAATATCACTAGAAAATGAACTGTAACGCTCGCAAAACTACTTGAAATTCTCTGAAGCTTGCATATTCATTTTTTTCCGGCTGGCTGGCTGGATTCAACATAGAACTTGGCACCGAAGTGCAGCAGTTCCAGTTGCCACCTTCCAAATACCACACAAAGGTAGACAAGAAAATGAGTAACGAGAATCAATAGAGTTTTGACAAGTATAAGAGTGAAACAGAATGAGTAATGGTAGAAAGGAATATGAGACTGAAGATTACAGAGACTGAATACATCTGCGTAAGCCATTGACAACGATTTTGAGCCATGTAACCTATTGTCTCCAGCCATTGATTCTTAGAGTCCCGAGGGCGGGCCCCAACCCGGAAGTCTGCATCTCCCTACCTGACTTGACTCAGTTTAACTGTCAGGGATTTCATGGATTGTTTGATGCCATGTTTTCGTTTGGCCACCACTTACTCCTTTCCAACCTGCACCTATATCAGCTAGTAATGCCCGTCGGGTTGGGGGAGGCGATGGTTAGGCATGCGCAGCACGTCACCTAACCATCTCAATCTATGTAACTTTATAGCCTCTTCGATTGATTTTCCCTCTTTACCCAACACTCTACGCCTAACGTGAACATTACTTACCTTATTATACCACCTAACGTGAGAAAGAGATCGTAGACATCTATGATCAAAAACAGACAACCTTTTCATGTCTTCAACTCGTATTGGCCATGTTTCAGAGCCATAGAGAAGGACGGAGCGAACTGCTGAGCAGTAATTCATTTTTTTTCACTGTGGTGAAACAGTGAACAGCACACCAAACTTTGTCAGTCAATAAAAAGACATCTCATTATTGCACACATAGAAAGTGTACAGTTAACAAGTACAGTAACAAGCATAGACGTAATGTATGTCATTATTATTTTGCAGTCAGTCATTGTGAACTAAATACGAAACATTAGTGCTTAGCTGATTGATTGATTGACAACTAATATTACATACACGCGAGTGAATGATATTTATATACATATACAGATATACTACCCTGGTAATTTACGCATTAATTGTATTATAGTATAGTATGCAATACAATTGGAAAAATTAGAATAACCTAGAGATCCACACACACACCTCATGACCTTATCAAAATCAAATTAACCCATATAAAAAAGGCAACGCATGAAAACAAGTGAATGCTTCTTTTGTTTTCTCCTTCAAGACACCTACATACCATACACTAGATTAATTAATAACTGCCAATTATTAGA